ACATCCAATCAATCTACAAGTCCTTTGGATTTATTACATGTATGTCTCTTGACTCCAACTACAATTTCTTCATCTCCATGATTACTACTCCATCCAGGCCACTCTCATTTCTTATGCAGATGTTTTAGGAGCTTCCTAACTGAGCTTCCTGCCTCTAGGTTTGCTTGTGTCCAACACTTTTCCCACATGGCAACCAGATAGATTTTTCTAAACTGAATATGTCATTCCTCCATTCAAAACTCTTCAGTAATAATTCTACTATCTTTAAGATAAAGATCAAACTCTCAAGTTTTATGGCAGACTAAAGCTACTCTTTCACTGCAGTATTACTAGATCCTGGATAAAAGCCACCTAACCCCAACAAAAAAGTTAGCAGAGGCTAGAAGGGTGCACTCAGGGAGTGGTAGGGTTATCCTAAGGGCTGATATCAGTAGCAATGCTGCTGAAATACTTAGCTTTGGGCCAGCAGTGATGAGGGGAGCTAATCCTCGGCACTCTCATACTGAGGTGAGATCCTTAAGAGGTGTGCTAAAGTATTCCAGGTCAGAGATGGCCTCTGACTGTTGGCAGAAACAAAAGAAGTTAATCCCCTTTGGAGGGAAGCTTCTCAATTTAGACCCACAGAATTCCTACAGATAGAAATACAGGCTGGGCACAGTGGCTCATGCCAGTCATCCCAGCATTCCGGGAGTCCAAGGCAGGAGGATCACTTGGGTATGAGAGTTCAAGACTAGCCTGGGCGAGACCCCTTCTCTATAAAACATTTAAAAAATGATCCAGGCATGGTGGCATCTACCTGTAGTCCCAGCTACTCGGAAGGTTGAGGCAGGAGGGTCCCTTGAACCCAGGAGTTCAAGGCTGCAGTGAGCCATGATTGCACCACTGCACTCCGGCTTGGGAGACAGAGTAAGACCCTGTCTCAAAAAAAAATAAATAAATAAAGTTAAAAGAAAAATAGAAATACAATAATGAGTTTGCAATTAAAAATCAACAAGCACATGGGAAGGCAAGTACCATCAGTCAGCAGAAACAATAAACAACAGATTTAAATCCCCAAGAACCATAAATATTAGAATAGTCAGATGAATACAGAAGAGCTAGATATTAAATGTTTAAGAAATAAAAGGCACAATCACAAGAATGCACCAAAAAAAATTTATAGAAAACATTTTGGGGCTGGGTGCAGTGGCTCACACCTGTAATCTCAGCACTTTGGGAAGCCAAGGCCAGTGGCTCATGCCTGTAATCCCAGCACTTTGGGAGGCTGAGGCAGGCAGATCATGAGGTCAAGAGATCGAGACCATCCTGGCCAACATGGTGAAACCTCTTCTCTACTAAAAATACAAAAATTAGCTGGGTATGGTGGTGCGTGCCTGTAGTCCCAGCTACTAGGGAGGCTGAGGCAGTAGAATCACTTGAATCCAGGAGGCAGAGGTTGCAGTGAGCCGAGATCACACCACTGCACTAGCCTGGCAACAGAGCAAGATTCTGTCTCAAAAAAAAAAAAAAAAAAATTGGGGATAAAACAAATTTGTAAAAATGAAAAACAGTTTTTGAAATAAAGACCTTAATAAATGGGCTAAATAGCAGATTAGAGTCAGCTGAAGAGAGAATAAGTGACTTGGAAGATATGTATCTGAAGATATTACCCCAGAATGCTGAGTCAGACAGAGATAAAAAATAGATAAATTAAAGGGTATGAAGAATAGAAGACCTAACATGCTTCTAATTATAGAATCTCAGAAGGAGGGAACAGAAATAATGAAAGAGAGTAACTTTTGAGGAAATAATGGTTGTTGCCAGGCATAGTGGCTTACACATGTAATCCCAGCACTTTGGGAGGCTGAGAAGACTGCTTGAGCCCAGGAGTTTGAGACCACCCTGGGCAACTTAGCGAGACCCTATCTCTACAAAAAATACAAACATTAGCTGCATGTGGTGGTGCATACCTGAAGTCATAGCTACCTGGGGGGCTGAGGCGGGAGGATCACTTGAGCCTGGGAGTTCAAGGCTGCAGTGAGCTGTGATTATGCCACTGCACTCTAGCCTGGGTGACACAGAAAGACCCTGTCTTAAAAAAAATTTAAAAAAAAAAAAATTAAAAAAAAAAAGATAATGGCTGTAAATTTTCAACAATGAACATGAATCTGCAGGTCCAGGAAGTATAATGTATCTAAGATAAATGAAAAGAAATACAGGCTATGGTAGCCAGTCTACAAGTTAGGTTTCAATGATTATCACCTCCTGGTATTTATACCCTTATGTTGCCTTCCAAACTGTATCAGGGTTGGTCTGTGTGACCAATAGTATATGACAAAACTGATGATATATCACTTCTGAGATCAGGTTATAAAAGACACTGTGGCTTCCATCTTGGTTGTTCTCTTGCTTTCTTGTTCTTTCCTGGATCACTTGCTCTGGGGAAAGCCAGCTGCCATGTCACGAGCAGCTCCAAGGAGAGGCCCATATGATGAGAAACTGAGGCCTCCTGCCAGCAATCCTGTGAGCCATTTTGGAAGCAGATCCTTAAGCCCTGGTCAAGCCTTCAGATGACTGCAACCCCAGCCAGCAGCTTGACTGCAACCTCATAAGAGACCCTGTGCCAGAACCAACTAGATAAGCTGCTCCTGGATTCTCAACTTAAAAAAATTGTGTGAAATAATAAATATTGTCTTCAGCAGCTAAATTTTAGAGTAATTTTTACACAGTGATAGATAACTAATACATATGCCAAGACCAAACAGTTCTGAATGGCTTACAAAGAACCTTCTCCATCTGGTCCAGAATGTCTCTCCAGTCTCATTTCTTGCCATGCTCTCTAAAGCACATTACATTTCTAACACACCAAACTACTTTTAGTTTCTGGAATGCACCATGTTCTCTCCCACCTCCACCTTCTATATAGCTCATGTGATGTACCCTGGCCTGACACATTTCTTCAACACCTTCTGCCCTACTCCTAACACATATAGTCATTTTGCTAACTTCTCCCCATCATCAGAGCACTCATCACATTGTATGATAAAGTCTTGTTAAACTGTGTTTCTATTAGACTTCAGGCTCCAAAAAGGCAGGACAATATCTGTCTCCTTCATTATTATGCCTATATAGTTCCCAACACAGAAAAGGTACTCAGTAAATATTTGTCCCTTATAACCCACAGGATAGGAACAGGCAGGAAGACTAAAGGTTGAAGAAATGTAAACACTCTCAGGCAGTGATCCAAATGAAATCTTCAGCATAGCAACTGATGTAACTACAAAGAAACCAAGAAACTCCTATATTCCATACAACCTCAGGTTTAGGGGAGGCTTGGGATAGAGTCAAAACTCAAAGTTGGATGGTTTCCAGGTCCTCTTAAGTCAAGCCCTGTTGTGGTTTCGTTATGATCCTTGAAATGAAATCTCCAAACATCAGAAATACCCATTCTTGAAAGCATACTCACAATTATACTCAAACACCAAATAGAAATTATTTTTTTAATTATAATCTTCAAATCTTCAAATCCAGCCTATTTAAGTTATGATCATATACAGTATTTGTGGAATGTGCTTAACTATATACATATATATGTACACATATACATGTCATAAAATATTAATCACTAGTACCCTCTACTGGTGGAAATACTTTATCTGCTCATATGAATGGTCTTATTGCCCCCTAGTGATTATAACCTATAAAGACAAAATCCAGCAGCAGATGGGAGAACCTCCTTGGCTACAATAGTAGGGTTTTATATTCTTAAAGCATCTGATTTTCTCAGATTCTGGTTTATATTACAGGGGTACAACTCTAAGACTCTTGGGGGCCCTCTGGGGATTTTGCACAGCTCTTCCCAGCTGTTAGTGCCAGTTCTGAAGCTGCTCTCTCTTCTGCTTCTCATGAACAAGAGGTCAAGGGGAGGCAGACAAGGCAATGGCTGCCCTAGTGAGGGCAAGAACAGCAGCTGTGAATGACTGTCCCGGACTCCCTGGGGAGCTGGGAGCAGCTTGAGTAACACATGTTGGCACTTCCTTGCATATTATTCACAGTTGTGTACTGTACTAAAATGGCAATTCAACATGGTCCCCGACTTACCTTTTAAGTATCTCCAATGCTATAATATCAAGATGTAACTGAAATGTCACCTCCTCTATGAAGCCTTTTCTGAAGTCCTCAGTATATACCTTATTTAGATTAGAATAGTACCCAGAACACTATTTACATGTTTTTATTTATAACCTACAATATTTAACTGTTCCCATTTGTCTATATGCTTGTCTCCGCTACCAAACTCTAAGTTTCTTTTTTCTTTTTTTGAGACAGAGTCTGAGTCGCCCAGGCTGAAGTGCAATGGCACGATCTTGGCTCACTGCAACCTCTGCCTCCCAGGTTCAAGCAATTCTCATGCCTCAGCCTCCTGAGTAGCTTAAGATTACAGGCATGGACTACCATGTCTGGCTAATTTTTGTATTTTTAGTAGAGATAGGGTTTTGCCATGTTGTCCAGGCTGGTCTCAAACTCCTGACCTCAAGTGATTTGCTCACCTCAGCCTCCCCAAGTGTTGGGATTACAGGCATGAGCCACCACACCCAGCCCAAACCCTAAGTTTCTTGAGGTCACAAATGATGTCGTATCCATTTCTGCATACCCAGCATCTAGCACACTCAAAATGTTATCCATGTGTTATTGCCAGTTATGCCAGTAAGTACATAAATAAAATGTAAGCACTTAGAAACTTTCATGGTAATTTGACAAGGGTAATTCTATATCTGTTGAAACTAATTTTAAAAATGGGCTTGTATTTTGTACATTCCATTTCATTTTTCTGATTTTTTTTTTATATATTACCAAGGTACTGGTCTGCAACCAACAGATAATTTTTTAAACAACAGTCCTTTACCAGAGAATTGAAAGCATTGATAAGGGAGATAACTTCATGTTTGAAGGAGAGAGGATGGAAAGAAGGGAGACAAAATATAAGCTTTCTTAAAAAATAAAATTAAGAAGGAATATACCTATCTTTGTTGATTTTAACACTTCCCTGGAGGGTATTTTCTTCTTTAATTCTTGTAAGGCTTCAATGAGATTCTCTTTGGTTTGATCAGGAAGCTCCAGCATAGTTTTCCATCTTTTTATGTCTTCTACAACCACAACTCTCTGGGAAAAAGAAAAGTCATTTGGAAAATGGAAAATTTGCATTAGAAAGACATCTGCCTTCACCTGAGCTAATGGGGCTCCTATTGACATATGAATTATTGATTATGACCTAAACCAAAGTACAGTGCATCTGATGGCCCCAAATGATGGGTAATTGCTTAAAAGCAGGTATGGCTTACTGCAAATCAGGAAGAGAGGTGCATCTATTAGGAAAAGTGCAAGTTTTAATCTTACCATCTCAGACACCACTGGGCACTTAGCAGTGAGAGGCAATAAGGATGAGAAGAGAAAAACAATGCTGAGGTGAATCAACTCTATAGCTCACTTAAGAGTGTCTTAATTCATAGGCAAGAACAATGAGCAGAGAAGTCAGGCATGTTTATTTCAACAATCAAAAGCACACTTCAGTAGTTCCCCACTTCCTAGAGGATAAAACTCAAAACTCTCTCTTGTTCCAGTAATTGTTTAAATCTTCAAACACATAGAAAGGTACAGCGAGTAACCCACTATTTATAATGGAAAAAATGAACACTTTGCTATTTCACATAAAATAATAAAACATTATAAAGTTTAAGTATCTTTGTATACTGCATCAACTCATTCCCCTCCTTCCCTTCCTAGAAGAAACTATGTACCATCTTAAAGCTGATACGCATCTTTCCATGAAGTATAAAAAATTAACAGTTAAAGAATCTGGGTGAAGGAGATGGGAAAGTTCTTCATACTGTGTTGCAAACTTTTCTTTTTTCTTTTTTTTTTTTTTTTGAGACGGAGTCTTGCTCTGTCGCCCAGCCTGGAGTGCAGTGGCCGGATCTCAGCTCACTGCAAGCTCCGCCCCCCGAGTTCACGCCATTCTCCTGCCTCAGCCTCCCGAGTAGCTGCGACTACAGCCGCCCGCCACCTCGCCCGGCTACTTTTTTGTATTTTTTAGTAGAGACGGGGTTTCACCATGTTAGCTAAGATGGTCTCAATCTCCTGACCTTGTGATCCGCCCGTCTCGGCCTCCCAAAGTGCTGGAATTACAGGCTTGGGCCACCGCGCCCGGCCCAAACTTTTCTATAGTGTTGAAATTATTCCACTAAGAATTTTTCAAAAAGTAAAGTGGGAGACTTTTAATTTGCTTTTATAACTACACACACAAAAAAAGTCTCATCTTGGATTGTTATTATCTGAGGGAGGTGGGCACAGTGAGGGAACTAAAGGGGATTCTGGGATTCTGGTAATACTTTCTTCATCTGGATGCTGGTGTGTTTATTGTGAAAATTCCTCATGTACACTTATAATTCGTGCACTTTTCTATATGCATTTTCTATATGATAGTTTGATAAAAGCAACAAAAAAAAGTCTTATCTCTCTCCCTTGGCTGGTGTCTGCTTCCAGCCTAGAAGCCTATGGTGGGAGGAGGGTATGTTTGATTTCCCTGTCACCCCAGCTTTGCTTCTCTTCCTCTCCAATCCGCTTGTTTGCTTTGGTTTCTGACCCTTCCAGGTTCAAAGCCAGGAAAAGGAAAAGAGGAAAGGGGAAGGAAAAGCCTTACTTTAACATAGTGATACTATGCTAATCAGGTTTTACTACTACCTGGACTTGGCAGATGTTGAAAGCTGACTTTCTTTTTCTCGTATAGGTTACTTTTGCAGTTCCTTGGAAAGCTCCCACTGTTGAGCTCTCACCTGCAGTTCCCATACTGTGGGCACTGTCTCCTTCTGCCAGCCACCCATAAGTCCTCTCGATTTCCCAGTTTTTGGCAACCCACCTCCCACAGGCTCTCCCTGTAGGGATCCCACTGCCTTTCCAAGTATCTTTGTGGACCCATCCATTTTCATTCAATTCCAGGCCAGCCAGCATTTTCTCCCACACTTGCCCACAGCTTTGTCCTAAAGAATTTGGTAACAGCCCTCCCAACGCACCCACTTCTCCTTTTGACATCAGTCAGCCACTCTCTGTCTTTAGACTTTCCCAGGCATAGTCTGATCTCTGTCCACCAACCCCAGGAACTAAAGTCAAGTTCTTCAAGTGAAAAAATACCGTGGCACTCTTGCTTCATCCAGAGGAATTCTCTCTCCCCTCTTCCTTTAACTTCAACCTACTTTATAGCTTATGGTGGGTGATGGGTTCAGGATCCCAAAACTGGTCTTCAGGTATTGCCTTCTGTATAGATGGTCTAAAATCGCATTGGCAAATATCATTTGATACCTACTGCTTTGTTCTCAGTCTTCAGGGGCATTAGTTAAAATTGAGACAGTCTTTTTCTAGGATCTGTTACAATATAAAATGGTATTAGTGTTAAACTGTATGAAAAATAAATCAATAAAGCCAAGTAAGGGGAAATTTTGAATAGGAAGAAAGTGCAAATATCATGTCTTTTTCACCAATGTATTTTATTGATTTATCCATACTGAAATATGTAATCCCGGTTGATCCATTTTAATAGTATTAAATAGTATTCCATTATTTTTATATACAAATGTCTTAGAAGTTTAAAACTATTCCCCTATTAAGTATTTAGTTTCTTTCCCCATATTTTACATGTTATAAACATCGTTTCAATGAACTCAATGAACTCCTGTCTATGACAGTTTTTTGTATATTGTCTTCATCTCTTTACTTTCAACTTTTCTGGGTCATTACACTTTACATAACCTGTGGCTGCTTTATTTTGTTCCCTGCCTCCTATTCCAATCTGAGAAACTCTATCTTTTAATAGGCATGTTTAATCCATTTGTATTTATTATGATTATTGATATATTTGAACATATTTTCTCTTCTTTTTTCTTCTTTTGTATCTTCTATTTAACAGTTTTCTTTAATCTATTTTTTCCTTTTTCCTTTTTTTGTTTTCTATAGATGGGGTCTTGCTCTGTTGCGCAGGCTGGGTGCAGTGGTAACAATCATAGCTCACTGTAGCCTTCAACTCCTGGGCTCAAGCAATCCTCCTGCCAGCTTCCCAAGTAGCTGGGAGTACAGGTACTTGCCACCATGCCTGGCTAATTTTTGTTGTTGCTGTTGTTGTTGTTTTTGAGACAAAGTCTTGTTCTGTCACCCAGGCTGGAGTGCAATGGCACAACCTTGGCTCACTGCAACCTCCGCCCCTCCTCCCCCAACCTCTTCAAGCAATTCTTCTGCTTCAGCCTCCCAAGTAGCTGGGATTGCAGGTATGCACCACCACGCTTGGCTAATTTTTGTATTTTTTGTAGACGTGGGGTCTCACTCTGTTGCCCAGTGCCCAGGCTGGTCTCAAACTCCTGGCCTCAACTGATCCCCTCACCTCAGTCTCTGAAAGTACAGGGATTACAGGTGTGAGCCACTGTGCCCAGCCCCTTTTTTTCCCCTCTATGGTTTGGAAGTTATGTATTATATTTCTATCATTTGAGTGTTTACCCTTACAATGTTTTTTTTTTTTTTGAGACAGAGTCATGCTCCGTTGCCCAGGTTGGAATGCAGTGGTGAGATCACACTGCAGCCTCGACCTCCTGGACTCAAGTGGTCCTCCCATCTCAGTCTCCCAAGTAGCTGGGACCACAGGTGGGCCACCACAACCTGCCGATTTTTAAATTTTTTGTAGAGATGGGGTCTCACTATGTTGCCCAGGCTGGTCTCAAACTCCTGGGCTCAAGTGATCCTTCTGCCTTGGCTTCCCCAAGTGCTGGGATTAGAGGTGAGCCACCATGCTCAACCTGTCCTTACAATGTTTAAGATGTATACTAACAGAAATTGATACCAGTATTCTCCTCACAAGCCTCTACTTCAGAAACCCCAATTCCATGGCTTCTCTATCCCTTATGTACTTTTTTCTTTCATATTTCTGTCTCTTCATTTCTCTATGATACATCCTGAGTGACTTCTTCAGAAATCCTAAGTATTTCTCTCTTTAGCTATGGCCTGCCTATGTTTAACCTGTTTGATATGTTTCTGCTTCAATAAGGATATTTTTTCATTGGACAAGTTCTGTTTTTCTTCTTCTCCAAACTTACCTATTCTCTTTTCATACTACTCTGTTCTTATCTTTTGGTTTCTATTCCTTTATGTCTGTGATCGTGAGGTCTGGAGGCAGGGAACCTAAAGCTGATTCACGCTGACTTCCTAGAACAAAATCAAAAGGAAAACTCGGCTGGGCACTGTGGCTCAATCCCAGCACTTTGGGAGGCCAAAGTAGGCGGATCACCTGAGGTCAGGAGTTTGAACCAGCTTGGCCAACATGGCAAAACCCCATCTCCACTAAAAATACAAAAATTACCTGGGCATGGTGGCACATGCCTGTCATCCCAGTTACTCGGGAGGTTGAGGCACAAGAATCATTTGAACCTGGGAGGTGGAGGGTGCAGTGAGCCGAGATAGCACCACTGCACTCCAGCCTGGGTGAAACAGCAATACTCTGTCTCCAAAAAAAAAAAAAAAAAAAAGGAAAAATGCACAACCAACCAAACTGGTCACATGTCTAGTCTTTATTTGCATAGGGGTATAATTTTGTAACTTCATTTCAGCCTCTGATTGGTCCTCTCCTGGAACCAATCAGACATTTGCATAGGGTGTAACTTTGTAACTTCACTTCAGCCTCTGATTGGTCACCTTCTACAACCAATCATACTGGTTGCAGGCCACTACTTCATTTACACACGGTGTAAGCCAAGTAACCAATGGGAAGCCTCTAGAGGGTATTCACACTATTCAAACCCCAGAAAATTCTGTAACCTGCACTCTTGAGCCTGCTTGAGCCCACTCCCACTCTGTGGAGTGTACTTACTTCAATAAATCTATGCTTCATTGCTTCATTTGTTGCTGTATGCATTCTGTCCAATTCTTTGTTCAAAACGCCAGGAATCTGGACACCCTCCACCAATAACAAACATTTTAAACATATTTAAGGTCTCTTTGAGATTGTTTTCTTATCTTTATTTCTTGGGGTAGAAATTCTATTACTTACATCTGTCTGCTCATTCTCTCTCGGTAATTTATTTTCTTATAGACTTTGTAATTTCTGACCATTAGTTTATCCTTGTAGG